CCTGGCCATTAGCAGGGAGCTGAATCAGAAGTGGAGCAGCTTGGACATGAACTGGCACTCATATGGAATGTTGGTGTTGCAGGCAGTGCCTTTAACCACTACACCACAAGGCTGGCCCTAAGGTGGACATTTTAAAACTAAACAAAAAAGACAAAATGGAGCCAACATTTTTACACTTTTAAGAATGAATATGCACTAAAACCAGTGGTTCTCAACTGGAGCAGTACCACTGCCAGGAAGTTCTTTCAGAAGATTTGAGTTGACTTTTTGAATGTCACAATATTTGGGAGGAGGCTACTGGTTTTTAATGCGTGAGAGCCCAGAAAGATATTTTGCAATACTTGGGATAGTTCTGAATAACCAAAGATGACCCTATTTCCTACCTAACCTTCCCACATCCCACTGATGTAGGCAAAAACTTGTTTTTAAATATTTAAGGGGCTGGTGCTGTGGCATAGCGGGTAAAGCCACTGTCTGCAGTACCAGCATCCCATATGTCCAGTGGTTCAAGTCTCAGCTGCTCCACTTCTGATCCAGCTCTCTGCTATGGCCTAGGAAGGCAGTAGAAGATGGCCCGAGTCCTTAGGCCTCTGTACCTGCATGGGAGAACTGGAAGAAGCTCCTGGCTCCTGGCTTTAGATCAGCCCATCTTCAGCCATTTTGGATATTTAGGAAGTGAACCAACAGATGGAAAATATCTCTCTCTCTCTCTCTCTCTCTCTCTCTGCCTTTCTGTAATTCTACCTTTCAAATAAATAAATAAATCTTTAAAAAATACATAAATAAATAAATATTTAAACATAGAACAGCTGCCTTTACATTATAGAAGTTATTTTTGCATCATTTTAATAAATATCAAGGGAATTTGAAAGAAGAGTAAAACTCCTTGCTAGACTTTACTAAAATATTTCTATTAAGGAAAATCACACCTTCACAATACCACTTATATTTGGGTTCCCCATACAATATACCTATATCCTTCTGCAGTTGTAGCTGTTACATTCACAGGGATTCCTCCTATAAGTGTAAGCACCAGACTACTTCACTATGTTTTCCAGTTTACTCATACTTGTGTATTTGCATATTGATCTGCTTAGTGTTCAATTACAGATTACTTTCTTATTTCTTACTTACCATGGGGCATTTTATTGACTTTAAAGTATGTGTGTGGGAATTATTTCAAAACTATAAAAGTTACATTGTAAAATATTTGTTATAAAAAATGTGGGGTATGATGAGCTTCTAAATTACCTCACGCAAACCAGATATTATGGCACTGTTAATCACCTATATAAGAAGCTCTTGACATTCATGGGGAAATATTCTAGAACAGATTTGTCCAAGAGAAACCTAATGTAAATAACACACATCTGATTAAATTTTCTGGTAGCCACATTTAAGGGCATAAAATGAAACAGATAAAATTAATTTTAATACTAATTTAATAATGTATTTTCTCTACTTAAATATAACTAAATGTAATTTCAAATGTAATTGATATAAAATGTTGACATGGTCTTTTCTATTGTTGCTCATATTGTCTTTAAACTATAATATTTATTTTGTACTTACAGCATGTCTCAATTTGGATGAGCCATTTGAAGTGCTTAGCTAAGGCTAGTGCTTACCATATTGAAAGGATAGTTTTAAAATTTCCACAAATAGAGAAATTCCAAAAAAAGGCATAAAATATGAGAAGCCCCTTCCTTTATTAACAGGAGCAAAATGATTGCTGCTATTGCTGCATTTCTCTCTATCCCTCATAGCTTTTTAATTTAATTTAATTTATTTTGACAGGTAGAGTTACAGACAGTGAGAGGGAGAGACAGGGAGAAAGGTCTTCCATCCATTGGTTCACTCCCCCCAAATGGCTGCAACGGCTGGAGCTGCACCAGTCTGAATCCAGGAACCAGGCACTTCTTCCCAGTCTCCCACATGTGTGCAGGGGCCCTAGGACTTGGGCCATCTTCCACTGCTTTCCCAGGCCACAGCAGAGAGCTGGATTGAAAGTGGAGCAGCCGGAACTAGAACTCGTGCCCATATGGGATGCCGGCACCACAGGCAGAGGATTAACCTACTGCTCAACAGCACCGGCCCCATCTCTCTCATAGCTTTTATGGCAAAGTCTTCATGTTCCATCTCAAACACACACCATCTGCTGTATAACTTGCATGCCAGAGGCTGTGTGCAGAGGTGAAGCAGCAGCTCAGTAAATACATCCACCTGCCACAATTCAAAACTAAAAAGTCAAGAAGGACAGTTCTGCCCTTGACACTTTCATCTCCAATTCCCTCTCCTTTTCCTCAGATCTCTAGAGACCTTGCAACCACACACATTTTCCTTCTCCCCTGGAAACACAATGTGCTTTGCCCAAATGACAAAGGCTAGGAAACTGCCTGTGTCATCTCTTCCCGTTTTGTGTTTCCAGCGTTTTGCTGATTCTCGTTTGGCTGATGTTCTTGTTGTTTCCCACTGTTAACAAGCTCATTCCTAGCCTATCCTTAGCAGACAGCATGATTGCTACCAACTCTGATGCTAATGCCATGGACCTCAGAGAGCAACACACCCAAGTTCAGTCCTTGTCTCTATCAGTTAAAGTTTGCATGATCTTGAGAAGTAAATTAAACTCTGAGTTGCAGTTAAGTATGAAATGTGGGTCAAAATAATCTGTTAGGGTTATTGTGAGATTCATAATATGGGTCAAAATGGGGCAATGGGTGAATAAACACCATAGCACCTGAGACATAGAAAACAGCTGATAAATGGTAGTTCCTGTTGGTTTCCATTTCCTTGATCTATAATTCCTTCCCTACTTCCAGCCACATGTCTATATCCAAATCATTTTTCAAAGTCTTGCTTAAGTTCCACCTCTTCTGTAAGTCTTCCACAAACTTTATTCTCTTCTTTTTATATATTTCTTAAGAATTTTGACATGTTATACTAGGATTAACTTCTAGTACGAGACACATAGTGGTCATTTAGTAAATTACTTACTTAATTGATTGATGATGAAAAGTGGAAAGAAAACTGTAGCAGATGCTGCTGATACCTTATGACACTTTCCCCAGACCCACCCAAGTTTGTCTGCAGTTATGGCAGTTTTACAATACTCATGGATAGGCACGTGGTACACAGTTCACAGAAGCTCCCCAGTAGGGTGGAACCCCAGCTTCCCACAACGGCATCCTACTCACTCATATGCCCCTTAATGGCTTTGCTTCCTTCCTCGTCTCACTTCCCTTACACCCACTTAAGCTTCCTGGCATCAACTCTTAAATAAACTGCCTGCTTCAAAGTCTTTGTCTCAGATTCTGCTCTTGGGGAAGCTCAAATAAGAACTAATATTGCTGGATCTACATTGGAAGCCAAGCACCATGTTAAGGATCATTATCTTCTTTCATAGTCTCGACATTCTTATACGTTGAGTATTATTTTATCTATTTTGCGGTAATAAATTAGAAAGCCAAGAGTCAAAAATAATTAAATGACTTCTTTGGCATTGTAGTTATTAAGTAGGAAACCCAGCAACCCAAATCCTTCTTTAAGTAGCAATTTCTGAATTAATAGTTGTATGGAAAAAGAATAAAACATTTCAGGAGAAAGCTAAAAGAAACTTATTACAGAAAACAGTCAGGTAAAATTGGATCTCTTTCTTGAGTTTAGCCAATGTGTGTCAAACTAAGAGATAGAAACAGAATACAATAAAATAGTATCTGGAGGCATTGTATGTTGAACACTTAGATGTCATTTAAATGCCTTATTTATAGTCCACTTTCTTTATTCTCGGAAATACAGACAGAAGATATGGCAGCACAGAGCTCCCCAAGTGAGTCAGATTTCATAAGAAGGTATTAGAAGATGAAACTGATTTGGCCTCTATGACATTGGAGAAAGAATTAAACAAAGGGAACTTTCTGAGTACTCAGATACTGAAAGGAAGGGCTTAGATTAATGAGAAAAGTTATTCAGAAAAAATTTCTTCTATATTAAAATTCTCATTCAGAATTGATTTTTTTATCTTCCCAAGTCACACAGGCCATGTACTGAAGGATGATCAAATTATAACATGAACTATCAAATCCAATCAATGTGGGTAAGGAGATAGCTGGGCAAATATTAAATGAAGCAAAGGACAAAGCTATATGTATTCCATAGGCAAAGAAAAGCATTAGATGACCAATTCATCTACCAGATTTATAGGAAGTCTTTTTTAGGCAAATTGGAGAAGTTAGAAAGATCCACTAGAATTAGAGAGTAATTAGTGGTACATGTTACTTATACTCTGTGGTTTTGTGGTCTAGCTGTCGAATCAAGTTTATAATTCTTGAAAACTATGAGTGATGTCTTTGTCTGAGGCATAAAGCCTGGCATCTTCATAGGAAATAAGATTGAGTCCCCAGTTTTCATTATTTGAGAACATTTGATATTTATTTTGAGATTGTCAAGCAAAATATATGATAAATATTTATTATGTTTTGCCTCTGCAGTTGCTACTATTTGTGTTTATAATGTCACATGAAATCATAGAGATCTAATCAATTTGAATTGAGCATTGTGGTTTTATTCTTGAGTTTTTAAATGGTTTTCTCTTATGTATAAAACAAATGCATGACATCATGTTATTTCCTGTGAATTTATTAGCTCCACGATGAAGTCATTTCATTTTGAGCCATAGAAAAAAGTATCTTCTAGCCAAGCCAGCTTTTGTAGCATGCCCTCTAATTCACATTTTAATAAATGTCATTTTCTAAGTGCATTACCTCATGTTTTGGCTACAACCCAGATAAATCCAGAGAGAGTAAGAGAAATGTTCTTTCTAACTGATTCATCCATATTTTATTTTCCTTTTCATTAAGAAATTACTCTTTGAATAAAATCAATAATGTTCTGTGACTAAGGGAAGAGATTCATGTGTTGCAGTCATGCATTCTAATACCTAAGAATCACACTGTTTAGTCAAATGTTGCTGATAGAGGTTTTGTCCTTTCTTATTCCTGCAGCCTGGATACATGGCGACCCCAGGAGAGTGGCCTATCCTACAGACAGCCAGGGTCACTTTTGTGGACAGAAGGGCACCCCCAATGAGTGAGTATGGACACTTTTCCTTGTTGGGATGTTACTGTCCAAACTGGAACCCAGAAAACACTTTTACATTAACCCTACTCAATTTCTTACAAACACTGAAATTCACAAGTGAAGCTTTTCCTCCCATATTTCATACAGTCAGCTATGAACAGCTGAGAAGTGTCATACTAAATGACTTAACTCACAATGTCATTATAATACAGCATCTTGTTAGAACACATGGGGACTCTGCTTGGTAAAAATATAATTCTGATGGATGGATTGGACCAGTGATTTTATCAGAAGCCATATTTTAAAGTGTTTTATGAAATGGGCTGTTGGAAACCTGGGTTGCTAAGTAGCTATTTAAAAGCTAGATGCACCCTTGGTGGAATTATTTTTGTCACAGTGCCCACTGATAAATCACTCCACCATTCAAAGTGAAGGACACACCCAGAAAGTCTTCAATGCTTGGCAGGTGTTTCAAGGCGACCTGGCCACTGTGAACAATACCCCTGAGTAGCTGAAACCAACAAGGAATATGAGAGTTCCATCAAATTCCTCTTCAACCTTAATCATAACAGAAGTTTCCATTTCTCAAAGGAAATTTTCTGTTTCTTTATGAAAAAAAGTAATTCCATAAATCCACATTTGTAGAAAACTGACCCTCCTTTCTCATTGGTCTCTTTTCTGTTACTACTTGAGTTTGTTGCTATATCTCTTGCCTCTTCAGAACCAATTCAGCTTCTATAAAATCTTCTTCTGGATGATAAGACACCCATACACACACACACACACACACACACATGCACAAGAGCAGTGGCAGCTTTTCCTCCAATGACAAGAACAAAATCATGGCTCATGACACTTTGGTTTTTTTCTCCCTTCTGCCCACCAGTAACATGGAGTTTATTGATCAAAGAGGTATACAGACTTACAAAGAAAATAGGCTCAAGATAGAATAGCAAAATTCATGGAATAGAATTATTACTGATAATCAAGACACTTGGAAAAGAGGCAAATTGTGGATCAGATGAAGTTGAGTTTATGGGGGACAAACTGACTACCGAAAAGGTCCTTGTTGCCTATTAGAAATAAAGGGACTAAATTCTGACCCAGAGTGATAATTCTTATTTTAACTCAGTATCTTAGAAAGTCCTAGACACTGCCAACAAAGCCTTTACGCTATGAAGGACAAAGAAAGCACTAGGTGGTAAAAAATCATCAAATCTTTAAATCTTTAGTTCTTTAAACAGGCTATTTTTAAAAGGGTCCTTATAACAATAAGTTTTCCAGACCCTAGGCACTGACCCACTTATTTTGAACAAAAATGTGACACTAGAACTTTTAGTCTCACTTAATATAGACTGCTCATTGCAGTATAATTTATGATAATAATACATTGGAAATCACACAGATATCTAACAATAAGTGATTGACAGTAAATTATGGCCCATCTCCTTGATAAAATGTAATGGAGCCATTGAAAATTATGTTCATATTTTCACTAGTCAATTCTGTTGATTTTCTCTTATAGTTTCTTAATTTTGTATCATGTTTATAATTGCTTTTTCCCTCCTGAAGATAACATTCTCCTGTATTTTTCTAGAAATTTTTAGTTTTCTTTTTATATTCAAATTTATAATTACTTGAAATTAACATTTTGTATATAGAATAAAGTCAGTTCCAAACTTTCTTTTTTCCTCAATTGTAGAGATATTTCAAAATAGTTTGTTGAATGATATGCTCATTTCACCCTTTGATTTCTAAATAACTAATATATAACAAATGTGTATAATTGCTTCTGAACCTTCTAACATATTCCTGTTTATATTTTAAGCTTCTAAATAATTGCATCACTAAATATGTTATTTTTAAGTATTAACAAGTTATTTTAATTATCTCATAGTTTTAATAACATGTGAAAATATGTGCTCAAAAATTAAATATCAATTTTATAAGCATTAATTTATATGTATAAAATATCCTTAGAGAAAATATTGGAACACATTGAAATGATAACATTAAGCAGTGTTTAATAACCATAAAACTAGACAGAAAGAAATAAATACAATTACAAATACAAATGTTGAATGTGATAAAAATGCAATTTCAAATCAGTAACAGGAAAATTGATTGTTAAATAAGTTGTATTGAATTAACTGAAATTTCATTTTTATAAATGAAATAAAATTGGACATTTTTATCATACCTTATACCAAAATGAATACTGAAGCATTGAAGATTTTGTGTATGAAATGTAAAACTAGAAAAATAACAGAAGAAAATGCAGGAGAGTGTTTATAGAATTACTGGATAATGAAACTTATTCTAAGTATCAAAACCAGGAAAGATCATGGAAATTTTGAAGAATTTTACCACACAAAGCAAGCCCACCTTAACTCACTGTTAAAAAAAAAAAGTGGCAACACAGAAAAAGGAACTATTTTGATAATTTATGGGTATATCTAGAAAAGAAACCACAGAAAAATAGTTTTATTATATGAAAAGCGAAGAGAAAAAGGTGACCATTCAATGCAAAAGCCCCGAAGTCATTGTCAGGAAAAAACATAATTCGGCTGCCACAAGAGCCTGGTATGCACAGAGATTGCTTCCAGGACCCCTGAGGATGTACACTCAAGTCTGCTGATGCTCAGGTTCCTTACATAACATGGTGTGGTATTGGCACCTAGCCTATACCCCTCCTGTCTAGACCGTCTCTCAATTGCTTATGGTACCTACAACAGTATAATGCTACATAAGCAGTTGTTGTACTGTGTTGTTTGGGAGTAATGACAAGGAAAATGTATATACATGTTCAGTACAGACACTTTTTTTTAATATTTTCAATCTGAGATTGGATGAGTCTGTGTGCAAGAGAAGAAATTGCTTTATAGTTGCAGGGTTAGTGAAGCATTTCATGAGGAAGTGACTTTTGAACTGAGATGTGAAGACTAGAAAAAGCCCAGCCCTTGAAAAGCTCTGGGAACAGCTTTCAAGTTAGATGCAGTCAGTGCAAATGTCCTGAGACAGGATTGAGTCCATGGTGTGCCAAGAACAGAACAAAGACCAAGAGGCTGAAATGTAACAAACAGAGGAGGGGAATGAGCAGACGTCTGAGAAGCAAATTTTTGGGTGGGTCCTATGGGCTCTGCCAAATTATATGGATTATTTAAAAGTACAGGAAAGCCTATAGAAAATTATTCAGCAAGAGAGAGACTCAACCCATTTTACATTTAAAAAATTTTTCTGCTTCTTTTGCACTTCTTGAACTTTTTAGCAATTCATATAAGCATTCCTATACAAAATATTAAGCTCTTTTATTTTGAAAAAATTAATGATAATTATTGTTATAAAATTGAGCAATTTTAATTTTCTTTTTTATGTGCTTATATACATTGTAAGTTTCTACCAAAAATATGTTACTTTTCAGCCAGATCCTGGCTGAAGAGCCCATGAGACTATTTTAGGCATGGAAAGCCAAGACACTCTGGAAAAAAAAAAAAGAAAATAAAACCTAAATGAAAGATCTCTGCAAGTGAGATCCCAGTAGAAAGAACGGGCCATCAAAGAAGGAGGTACCTTTCTCTGAAGGGAGGAGAGAACTTCCACTTTGACTATGACCTTGTCTAAATAAGATCGAAGACAACGAATTCAAGAGGCTTCCATAGCCTTGACAACTCATGACAAGAGCCTAGGGAGATTTCTGACACCATAAACAAGAGTGTCAATTTGTTAAGTCAACAACAGGAGTCACTGTGTACTTCTCATGTGGGATCTGTCCTTAGTGTGTTGTCCAATGTAAAGTAATGCTATAACTAGTACTGAAATAGTATTTTACACTTTGTGTTTCTGTGTGGGTGCAAACTGATGAAATCTTTACTTAATACATACTAAATTGATCTTCTGTATATAAAGATAATTGAAAATGAATCTTGATGTGAATGGAATTGGAGAGGGAGAGGGAGATGGGAGGGGTGCTAGTGGGAGGGAAATTATGGGGGGAAGTCATTGTAATGCATAAACTGTACTTTGGAAATTAATATTTACTAAATAAAAGTTAAAAAAATATAAAAAATATTACTTTTATATTTCCCCCAAATTTTCCAGAAATGAAGAATGTAAAATAAAGTCACATGGGGGCCCTTTGACATAGTAACTTAAGCCTCTGCCTGCAGCACTGGCATCCCGTATGGGTACCAGATCATGTCCTGGCTACTCCATTTCCAATCCAGCTCCTTGCTAATGCACCTGGGAAAACAGTGGAAGATGACCCAAGTGGTTGGGCCCCTGCACCTACATGGGACACCTGAAGAAGCTCCTGGCTTCTGGCTTCAGATTGGCACATAAGTGGAGGCAATAGAGTACCTCATTAAAGCCGTTTTTTAAAATATGGACAAAGCATTTTGTCAGAAGAATATACTTCTAGAGTCAAATCCTGACTTTATTTCCTTTCAGTATTAACCCTTAGGCATGACACAACCTGCCTTAGCCTTTATTTCCTGATAATGATGCAAAAATTAAATGAAAGCAGTAATTTAGAAAAAACTTGCATTGTCCTTTTTGTTTATAAAGCACTCCCATATTTCATAATGTATCATCTGTTGAGTTTCTCCAATGGACCAGTCACTATGTAGTATGCAGGAGATATTCCAATAAATTGAACACAAATTCTTTAAGAATCATTCTGATGGAGTCAAGAACACCAAGGATTTCAGTCTGGTGCGTTCACACACTGCTGTCTTAGTATGCTGATAAATCCATTCGCAGCAGCATCCGTCCTCAGTCCAACATTCTTTTCCCTCTTTTCTGGCATAAGACCCTGACTTACTGTCTTGGATGCTTATCACTCCCTGTTTTTTCCTGATTATTAATTTGTTAACTTTATGTTCCCCTACTGGGCCCAAAGTTCTTTGAGATCTGGGATTCTCAGTTTTCCTGTTGTATCCTCAGTATCTACAATATTGTCTGATGTTGTAGACGTCAGATGAGTGAGAATAAAGGAATAAACACAGATAAGA